CAGGGCCTTTTTTAAGGATTTTCCCGTGGGGGGGGCATTTTTTGAAAAGGGACCTTTCTGTGAGATAATATTTTAGAGGGGGATAGCAATGGCTGAAAGCCACGTGTGTGGTAAATATACCACACATGAATGGGGGGTCTGGGGGTGTACTCCCCCAGAAAATTTTTGAAATTTGACTCCCGGAAATGTCATTTCCTGCATTCTGAGCATCCAAATTTGCTCCAAAATTTATCCTAACTGGCTAACCATACTTGTATTTGAAATAAATAAAGGAAGAAACGCACAAAAAGTAAAAAAATTAACCATCATTTATCGTTACTTATTAGAGGAGGATAGCAATGGTCAGGTGTGTGGGGATGTATTCCCCCAGAAAATTTTTGAAATTTGAACCACGGAAATGCCATTTCCTGCATTCTGAGCATCCAAATTTGCTCTAAAATCTATGCTAACTATGGTTGTATTTGAAATAAAAGATGGAAAAATGCACAAAATTAAAAGTAAAAAAGAATATTAACTGTAATTTATCATTACTTATTAGAGGGATAATCCCAAGAAAATTTTTGAAATTTGAAACCGTGAAATGCTATTTCCTGCATTCTGAGCATCCAAAAAATAAAAAAATTATTAACAATAATTTATCATTACTTAGTGGTAAAAAAAGTAACAATTTAAATCGATTTTGTTAAACAAGAACAAAGGATAAAGCCTAGAACTTACTTTCCGTTTATCTATTTGTTAATCTTCGCTGGATTGTTTATATAATTTTAAGAAAAAGGGACTTTTCCTGGGGGGGCAAAATGTGATTTCGTGGGGGGCACAAGGGGGAACTGGGGGGGCAAATGCCCCCCCCCAGCTTGTATGTTAAAAAAGGCCCTGATATATATATATATATATATATATATATATATATATATATATATATATATATATATATATATATATATATATATATATATATATATATATATATATAATTATGTTTCGTTGTTTACAAAAACATTTGGCAGAGTGCTCAATGGATATCCAGAGCATAATTAATTAAGTGCAACGACTCAACAAATTCCACTAGGCATCTTTATTACTATTAGTTTCGATTCGTACCACAAGATGTGCCATTTATCGGATAAATTAGCCTAATTTACGAGGTGTGTAGCTCCGAGTCGGCTATCAGTCATATACAACGAGAGCGAATGGTATAATTGTTTTGTAATATGGTCTAAAGCAATAATTAATTATCCTCTGTTACAATGTCTTGACAATTTGTTCGGCCAAAAACCGCCTGGCCTTGAAAATTTGAAATACTTTTGTTTTACAACTCGAAGACGAAGTGAAAGAAATGGTTTTAGAACCGGTATATCTCACAGAAAAGCTCAGATATATTATACAGATGTTTGGTAGTATAGTAAGTGCTTGTTGAATGCAAATTCATTTGTCTTTCGTTGCAAACTTTTCTGAACAATTTATATTCTCAATGAACATGTTTTTTTCGCTGTTGTTTCGGTATTAATTATTTAAAAAACTTGTATTTAAACTAATTTCTATGTAATAAATGTATTTTGCTAACCTGTCAAATTTTTTTGAGAGTTTTTCCTTGTACGATTATCTTTCTCAAAGCGAATATTTTCCTTGTTTCTGCTTCGCAAAACTGCATGTAGTTTTTGGACCGCCATCTTGTTTTTCACTACTCGCCGTATATGAGCTGATATACGGCGAGTAATTCAACCAATCAGATTGCAGAACAGCTCATATACGGTGAATGACTATATTATAAATATATATATATATATAGAAGAATCCAATAAGATATAATATAAGCTTCAATTTAATGTAAAATTCAACCACAAACGCTTCGCATAACGTTTGTTCTTTATAAAACTAAACCTTTATCGATAAACTTTGCGCCATATATGGCATACTGATATTGCTTATTGACATCAGTAATTATATATTGATAAAAATCGGAACATCCGGTTTTAACGCGAGTCACTCACGTGACTGGACTCACTTTGAGAAAATATACCAATTGCTCTGTAACAACATACTGTTTTATCGTTCGTTATTTATGAGTCTTTCTTCTTTACTAGCGTTGAGTTTGAAATCAAATAATTTCGAATTCTCGCATGCAAATAATTTTGCTTTCATTTTTGTTTATAAATTTTAATATAATAAAAAAAGTGTAATCAATAAAGATACACTGCAATTATATGCTGTCTTTTTACATATTTATACGCAACGATCAGCTTTTAAAGCTATTATGAAGCAAACAATACATCAATATTTAAAACAAACTTATCATCATTAGCATGGGCGTCTTTGCTTCCTTTTTTAGCAATTATTTTGTCTTTTTTTAAAAAGCTTTTGAAATTTACAAATTCTTGCAAAAACGAAATATATTTGCAAGAAATCAAGCTAGAAATGTTTAATATTTCGCTGTCGTTGGGCAGTCGTCATAATACAAAGTTCAAGTTAGACCAATCAGTGTTCGCTATTAATGACAGTCCGCTATATTTTGAGATCAGTAAGGATGACCATCCACGCACGGTAACCCACGCCCGCGATTATTGATAAACTTTAGACTTTGCTAATGCTTTCCTTTCCTTTCCACGGGTGTAAGTAGCCGGACGGAATTAGTACTCTCGCCCCGGGCTTACGCTCGTAGCGCTCCGGCGCCATTGGCTCGGGGGATAAATTTAGACATCCTAAACACGTGTAAATCACAATATTTCATTGGCTGGCAAAGAAATTAGATTGCCCCGATGTATGTATTATTATTATAATATAGAAAATAGTGTATTATTATTATAATAATAATAATAATATGTATTATTATTATAATAATATGTATTAATAATAATAATAATAATAATAATAATAATAATAATAATAATAATATGTATTATTATTATAAGAATATGTATTATTATTATAATATTATTATTATATTATTATTATATTATTATTATTATAATATAGATTGCCCCGATGTATGTATTATGTATTATTATGTATTAGATTGCCCATATGTAGATATTACAATACTCACACGGCCAAAAAGTCACTGCCGGTCAAATATTTACTATGTCAAAGTCACAGAAAACAAAAAAACGGCGGTCAATGTCCTAAAATCGGTCGGCGGTCATTGATCGGTGACCGGCCGTTTTTGCAGCTTTGCAGAAATGTGATTCTGTCACCGTTTTCGGAGACATGTGTAATAATACTTTAGAGTTGATTCAAGTAATCAAGTCTTTCAAATTTACAGTATATAAAATAATGCAAAATATATTGCTTGTTCTCAATATTCTCAACAGTTTTTATTCTTCTCTATTATTTAATAGACCACTCACAAATCGCTTTCAGATAAATTTTACATCACTGAACAAGCTAGTTTTCATCTATTCATCTTTTCGTCTCCTGGCGGATGGCATGGAAGAATTTCTAATTACACCAACTGCTTGGTATTACATGAAGAATCTTGGAGAGACAAATACATTTCTTGGTTTCACCCTAGCTGCTTATTCAGCAGGGACGTTGGTGTTCTCACCATTTATCGGATTTCTGGCAGTTAAATATGAAGCATCAAAGTCTCTCGTTGTCATGTGTGGGTTAGTGAAGTTATTTGGTAATGTTCTGTACTCGATACCCGTCAATGGATATTTTCCTTTGTTTGGGAGATTTATATGTGGTATAGGTGAAGGAACAACGGGAGTGCTGTATGGAGCCGTGACAAAGTGTACTACCAACGAAAATCGTGCAAAAACATTTCTATATTTCGAAGGTCTCTACTCTATTGGCGAAGTATGTGGTCCAGCAATTGGAAGTCTTCTCATATTCAACTTCAATATATTAGGTGAGTATATAGTATATATAGTTAAAAAAATTCATTAATAATTCACGAGGAAAATACAAAAGAAATGAGTGTTTAATCAATGTTTGTAAATCGGATAAAGATTTGTCCTGATTTACATAAAGTTCAGCTTTGATTTTCTCGGCTTAGACAATGTTTATTTTTAAAATTACTTCACCAACGAACTCATAAGATCGATGGGTCATTTTTTAAGTTCGATAAAACTTTCGCATCCGATCTGTATCTGACATACAAACTCTCGCCTTCGGCTCGAGTTTGTATATCAGATACAGGTCGGCTGCTCATGTTTTATCTAGTACGTATTTAGCAAGTACACATGTTAAACGGGAGAGATTCCTTTTCTATATAATGGGGGCAATATTTCCAGCGTTTAGGTAAGATATCAGCGATTAGGTATCAACAAATCAATGTCACACGTACATGTACACTAAAATCTTCCTTGTTGGCTACCTGTAGATTATCAATAATCTTTAACAATTATACCATGAGCTCGAGTCGCATATGAGCTGACAGCCGATGAGGTGCGTAGCACTGAGGCGGCTATTGGACATATACGACGAGAGCGCGCGAGTGGTACAATTGTTTTAAAATATGGTCTAGTATATAATAGCCATTAACAGCAGCAACAATATATTGTTCTCTGTTGCAGAGTTTGCCAGTTATTTCGGCTAAAATCCGCCTCGTTAGTTTGGCCTGAAAATTTAACATGTTGTTTTTGTAACTGGAGGTGAAATTATAAAGAAATGGTTCTAGAACTGGTATTTATCACAGAAAAGCTTTTTCGCTGTTGTTTCGGTATTAATTCTTCAGTTAAAAAACTGGTTTTAAAATCCGTTTCTACACAATAAATGTACTTTGCTAATCTGTCAAAATCGTTTGAGAGCTTTTTCGTGTACTTTTATCTTTCTCTAAGCCAATATTTCTCTTTTTTTCTGCTTCGCAAAACTCTTGTAGCTTTTGTGATGCTATTTGTTTTTCGCTACTCGCCGCGGTATATTATTATTATATTATAATAGCCTACTAAAAATACATTCATGCAGCAACCCCTCGCCGATATTTCCAAACATATTGATTTAACGTGAAGTATTGGTAATTGATCAAACTGCCGCAGGCTCTGGTTACGTCAGTGTTTCCATGGCATCACGATAATTTTATATTTTTATATTTTTAAATTTTTATTATACTTTTGACTTGTACAACACGCCAAAAACAGTTGAAACATTATTGCTTTTAACTATATAACGATGAATTTCCGAAATATCTACTGTAGGTGTATGTTGTTCTGGATTCTGTGAGCTTTGATTTAATGTAAAACCTAACCTAAATCGCTTCGTAAAATGTTTTGAAATGTTAATTTTAATTTTAATATAAACTAAACTGCTTTTGCCGATATTAAATCTGTTTTTACATCACACTGTTGAGTAATTTTAGTTAGGTCTTTTAGTTAGGTCTGTAATTTCTTTGCACTCCTTTACATTTTACCTTTTTTTCTTAAATGAAACACGGCAATTTAGGAAACTTACGCAATAAATTATATAAAGCAACAAAATTCATAAATATTAAAAATTCAAAGCAAATTTGCCCTATATTTCACGATTTCCCATAGTAGGCTAAATCGATTCTTCTCATTTCTTCAGACAAAAATTGCCGCAAAGCTCATTGCGTGAAACATGATTTTCCAAATATATGCTTTTGAAAATTGAAATCTTGCTTAACCCACTCCTGGCAAACAACCATATTTTTGAGATCAGTGAGGAGGTCCACCCCTGAAACATAGTCACGCGCTGCGATCATTGATGAACTTTAGACTTCGCTAATGCTTTCCTTTCGCCGGGCGTGAATAGCCAGGCGGAATTAGTACCCTCGCCCGGGCTAACGCGCGGAACGGCGCCGTTGGCTCGGGAATGAGTCGATGAGTTATGAGTTATAATAGGCCATGTCCTGACATTTCGCTCCAATTTTGTCGCTGTTCAATCTACTAGTTTTAAAATACCTAAGATATTCTCTTGGTCTATTTGTTTCTAAAGTTTCCCCGGTAGTACAGCTATGAGTGTTTATTAACTTATGTGGCTGTATTGTATCTTGATATGGACAATTCAGACTGTCTTCTGATATAGGATGGGTTATATTTTCAAAAGTATTACAAAATGTTAGTTACATATAACTTTGTGCTTTACTTTTATTAGGTTGGAAAGTTAACGCAGGGAATTCGCCGGGGGTAATTTTGGCAATCATTTGGTTATTATTGCTTATTCTGACAATGTTCCTACCAAGTGATCTCGCGGAAGGGTATGAAGCCGAAAACCAACCAAGTATTGGCAATATTGATAGCGATCGTGAAATTAATGAATCTAAATCGGAAGAAACTATTGCTGGCTGTCCACACTCGGTTGTCTTTTGTTTGTATTTCCTTATTTTCCTAATGATGTTTCTAACTACCACCTCTTCCACTTATATTCCGCTATTGGCAAAGTACCATCTAGGATTGGACCTAAGTTACGTGAAATTACTTTACCTCAATTGCTCATTATTTGCTTTCGTTTTTTTCGTCGCTACTTACCTTTTGGTGGAAAGAATTTCCGAAAAGAATTTTATTGTCTTCGGTGCTGTTTCACTAATATTCCAAATTTTACCAATATTTTATTTCGCTCTGTTCTGGGACAATGATATGTCAGTGAATGCAGCTTATCTTTTGCTTGTTTCACTGTTATTTATTGGTGCCCAGTTCGTAAATTTTGCTCTGATCTCTTCATTGTTATCAAAACAAACACCAGCTGAGGATGCCTCATGTTATCAAAGTCTTACATTTACCGTAGCTCATACCAGCATTATGCTTGGTCGTATATTAGCTGGTGCTTCGTTTCACAGAATACCAATGATGTACACATGTCTTTGTCTTTCCATCTGTTGGTTATTTGGACTTATATGGTTGGGTATTGAATATAAGAACTTGGAAAAAGATGAGAACTAGATTGAGTCCAGAAACTCTGTGAAGGATTCCTCTGTTGGTGGCAGGATGGAGGAAATGGGACCTAAGTGTAAGAAATAGGTAGTGGACATGACTGTAGAACCGAACTGTACAACCTAACTGTGAGACCTAGGCGGTGAGATATTTCAAATTTGTTGGGGTTCTTTATATTCTAGGAAACCACCTTGGTCCATAATATTTTCGTATTTTAAGCCTTTGGGGCTTGATTTCCTGCATTTTCAGACAATAAATTCTTATATATTTCTTGGTCGTGGTAATATTAAAACGTCGTTGTTTATCTTGCCCC